ATCATAAATCAAGAAGTTATAAACTTGCAGGTACTCAAATCTTTTAGCTTGCACGTCTCTTCCATTCACTCTTACTCTTGCCTACCTATTTAATTATGAACTTCTCAAATTCTTTGCTAGACTCTATATTAATAGTGAGGGTACTACCTTCCAATCTTATGTCAATAAGATGCCTATTGAAATTACCTACCAAGACTTTCATGAATTCCTCCACCTTTCTACTACTGGTGATAAAGTTCACCTTGTAGCGTATATCACTAATTATAATTGAACCCTTGATGGCGCTACCCTTTAGGAATCAATTATTAGATACCACATTCCTCATGTCAATACCTTAGTGCAAGATGTTAGAATTATTCAACATATCCTTCGCAACTCAATAATTTCAAAAGCTGGGATTGAATCAACATCACACCTCTTTAATCCTTAACCACCTATTTCATAATGGCTGACATTGATTTCAATGCAGTTGATTAATTATTGGATATCTTAAGAATCTAATTTGAATTTGAGATCCTAGAAAAAAAGAAATCCAAATCTTAACTTAGGTCACATAATTGTCTCTGTCCTTGAATATAAATACAACTTGCAATTCCCTACACCACCATATCATCTCTCAGTTCTCTATTCAAACAACTTCTTCCACATCCTTCACAGCACTAATTACCACAATGTTTACTATATGGACCCCGAGCAAGAGGAAACAGAGGGAGGTCTAGCACATGTTTTAGCACTAGCACTTATTCACCAGCAGTCTCAGTATGATATGTTGGTTCACATGTTTGATTAGTGGGAGGCTCATTTTGACACCTACTTAGCAGAACAACAATAGCAACATGATAATGAAATGGCTCATTTTGACACCTACGTAACATAATACAACAACAACATACAAATGATATGGCTTGGCTTCGAGAGTAGTTTTCATCCATTCACTGATTCTTCAAACCACCACTTCATCCATATGATCAGGACTCTTAATATTTTTAGTTTGTTCTATATTAGTGCTTGTGCTTGTATTATTTCTATGTCTCTACTTTGAAATGTATTTTTTATTTTGGCATCTTTATTTCATTGATATCTCCATTTTTTATGTCAGAAGGTGGAGTATGTTGTTGTTAGTTGTTCATACTTCTTTTTCTATTAGAATTAGTTCACAATTTTTTTCTTTGGTTTTCTCACTCATTTTTTATGTTTCTTTTATTCTTGTTGACCTCATTTTTGTATGAGGTCATCAGGACCAGTCCAAACTTCTACCCATTAATTTAATGGTTGAGAAGCACCCAACTATCAATCTTCCAAAACTTCAATTTAATCAAAATCCAGGTCCTAGTTCCAACCGAAATCCAAACCCTAGTTCAAATCTTAATCCAACCTTAAAACCAGTATCCAATCTAACTTTAATTCTATCCAATCATTAATAATTACTCAAATGATTATGATTTATTTGGAAATTTTAAGCTCAACCAATCAAATCCAAAAACCAATTAAAGCCTAATAATTCAGACCAAAATCCAAGGCTAAATGTGTATATTTTGAAAGCCTTTTTCAATAATTTTTTAAACATTTCAACACCTAGTAAAATGATCCCCAAATTATAATTTATTAATTACATATTGATTAGGCATGTATCTAAGATCAACCCTCCAAATTTGAACTCAATTTTGAGGTATCTAACCATAAAAACTGAATCTATTTTCAAAGGCTATAAAACCTTCAAATATTTACAACCTATGCCACTAGACCCTCTAACCTATAAATTTTCACCTTGGGACCATCCTCGAGACCTTGATCATATCTAGACCCTTGATTATAATATTTTAAGCATTAATATATGTTTTTGGTGGACCTACTTGCTGCGAATCTATGGCTTATGATTTTGGTGATAGCAAACATTCTTTTTCTCTATGACTGCTTTCTACTAACATTTCAGGTCCACATGATCAGACTGCAATAGTTGACTAGAGGTCAAAATGACCAAAATGTCCCTCAAGAGAAAATTTGAAGTTTCCTTCAAAGTTCAACATGACCCAATCAAGTCAAACACTCAAACCTCTTCCAATGCATCTTAAGCATCATTAGGATTGCATTGAATTCAAAACTAGACCCTGGTCAAGCCTGGTTGACCAAGTCAACCTATTTTGACCAAAATGCCCCTTAGGCATTTGAAGAAATGTTACAATCCAAATGGCCTCAACATTATATGAGACCACTTCCATTCAATTCAAAATATCAAACCAAACCTATTGAGCTTAAACCCAAACCCTGGGTAAACCTGGTTGACCCAATAGCCCCTTAAGATTCTAAATAGGCATTTTGACCCAAATGACAACTTTGACCCCTAAAACCACCTCTACCATATTCCATTAATCAAAATAGACATGTTGAGCTCAGACCCAAGCCCTAGGTTAACCTGGTTAACCAAGTCAACTTAAGTTGACCAAATTAACCTTTAATCTTTATTCACATCAAATTAATCTACAAATGCAATCAAAACTTTATCAAAATTATTTTTAACACATCCCTTAGTGATTTGGACATGTTTGGACACCTTGACCCAGTCAATAGTTGACTTGGTGAAGCAGACTCATATATGATCAAATCCAGTCAACGCAAGGTCCATTCACCATCTATAGTCAAATCTAATTCAAGCAAGTCTTTTAAATCCTCAAGTCCACTCAATGGCATATTTTGAATCAATTCAAACCTAACATGAGTCACATCATTATGGGTTTGACCAAGTCAACACTTTAGACTTAGTCAGAAGTCCCTATTTTGGTCAAACCACTGTATATATTCAATCAAATTTCTACTAAGCCCTCAATCCCTCTTCATTACGTGATTCAAGCATATCCAAATTTATTTGGAGCCAAACCACCAAAGATTTTGACCTAGTCAAACCTCCAATCATGGACAAACTTCCACATACATATGTTTAATTCACTCAAACTTCAAATAGATTTCTTCAAACCATTACATCAGCTCATTAAGCCTTCTCACATGCCACATCATCTGGTTTGACATGTTGGTCAAGAAACCATTAAATGTTCAAACTGTTGATGACATGGCATTCCCATCCATTTCAAATGACTCCGGCCATTTAAACTCCTTCTAGAGTTTTTCTAAATGACTCCTAAACCTAGCTCAGCCCTTAATCTAGCCCTAAGCATTTTTTTTAAATCAAGCCTATGTGCATAAAAGGATAAATGGAGCTTTCCACCTCATTGTCCTTGACATGTCCTCTCTCCTACCTCGTAACCATTCTAGGCCAGGTGTCATGCATCTGAGAATAGGTCCAAACAAATCTCAGCTATCTACAAACCTTATGAAGCTTCAATTGATCAAAAGAAACCAAGAGGATTTCATTGATTTACCTAACCCTCTCTCAATATCAAGAGTTTCTCAAGCCTAGTCCCTAGTTTGTTTAAGCTTCTAGCAAAATCCTCAACACTTTCCAAGCCCGATCCAATCGATCAAAGCAACTGACAACGATCCTCTAGCCACCACAACCACAAAATCCATCCAAGGCATCATAACTCACGATGGAGAACTTTTCAGACTGTGGATCTTTTTAGCGGATTTTGCATGGACAATCTACAGGATTAAAGAGTCCTTGATCAACCAAATCCATCAATCCTATCAAGGTAAAGGCTAACCCTAGTTTAGGGCACTTAGTTTAAAATAACTTTTTATTAAGTGATTTTCAAACTGAAAGAATCAATCCCCAATACTTCCATTCACTCAAGGAGTCTCTTTTTAAAAATTATGTTTGATTTGATTGAACCTTATTTTTAAAACAATCACATTTTGTTATTAGGGCATGATTCAAAGTCTTGTCCGGCTATATAGAATCTTAGTCGTTGATCCCTTAATCATCAATAACTACAATATTGCCATTCTACACGTCCATCCAACTGCAGCTACAGTTTTATCTGATTGAATCATTTACCAGCTTGATAAGAATCGTCAATTCATAATGCGGAGGATCCAACGGATGCGAATTGCCATTGATGTGGTTAAGTTAATCGCATACATGTCGCCTTCGAAGTTCCGCATTTAATACTAATGATTACTGGTAGTGCAATCATTTATATTAAATTTGTCATTGTGCATTTTAATCTAGCGAATCTACAGCCGCCACATGTCATATCATAGCCGTCGATTTAAGGTTAACTATTTTTTTTTTACTTTTTTTAATTATTTTTAAAAAAAGTTTTTTTTTTAAATTCAGAGGTTCTTATTAGAAATAATATACTCAAAATTTATATCCAGAGCAATGTCTTAATTGAACATGAGGGATTTACCTTTTCCAACCACATCCTTCGCTTGCAGAAAAGATGACAAAATAGGGAAATCAACAACATCCTTGATGACCAAAGTCAGTCTACCTTTTGGAAAAAAGGGTGGAGATGAATTTGGCGGTGGAAGGATCGACGGTGATTGCCACCAATCAAATCCCACCATAAACGGAAATGGCAAAAATTCAAAATAGTGGGTCTTTCTCTCACTAAAAATGGGGTCTTTCTCTCACTAAAAACATTGCCCTTTTATTATTACTAGAGTATATCCTAATGGTGCCATAAGGATTTAAGATAGATAAACTTTTCACATATTCAAGGTTAATGCATTGATTGAAACCTTGTGGAAGAGAAGTATAAGGAAAAAAGAAATATCTTGAATATGCATTTAAGGAGTTTTCATTTTTTTGTTTGTATACTAGAGAAAGAAAGTGTGTGTGTAAATGCTACACTTTCTTTATTATATGTCTTTGTTTTTGGGGAGAATTCAGCAATAAGGACTGCATGTTTATAATGATGTATAATTAGAGTATTGGCTATAAGAGCCACTTTATTGTGATGGCTAGAGTGGTATTATATATATATATATATATATCTATCTATATATATATATATATATCTATATATATGGCAGTGGTCCCCATTTTCTAGACAAATAACTGTGCACAGGATTCTTGTAGCGAACCATACAAATACGACTTCCGCCCGCACAAACTAGGGTTTCATCGCCAATAGCTGGTCGGTATTTTCAGGGAGCGAAGCGCCGTCACAGAAAGGATGGTGGAGAAGGGGAGCAAAGGTCGGAAAGAGGAGGTCGTGACAAGGGAGTACACCATTAATCTTCATAAACGCCTACATGGATGGTATCTCCTTTTCGATTTTCCCCAAAAGATATTTTCTGCTGTCATTTTTATGGTTAATTATTTGTTTGAAAGATGAAATCCCATTCTTCTTGGCCCGCTAAATTAAACTCGAACGCTTTCTATATTGATTTTTTTTTATTCAGTGGATTAAATTGTTTTTCGCTAAATTCGATGCTGGGCCTGTTTGGCTATGCAAAGTGAATGCAGAACCAGGTTTATTAAATTTTGTGAGAATTAAAAGCTGAAAACTGTATGAGATGGGAACTGTTGAACCATGCGAACCCCTGATAAATTATTCGGCTATTTTTTCAGGAATTTAGATTTGAGAGAGAAATTCGTTGAATCCTGGTGTTTGCGTGCTGGCGTTGTTTCACAAATCCTTGGTTTAACCAATAAAGATGCTAGAATGAGTTTTATTAAAATATTAGAACTTAAAGTTTCCTGAATTTTATTTGCCAGGATGTAAACTAAATCTTGCTAACATCATACCTAAAGTAGGATGCTTAACAGCCCCTCAATGTTTATTTGTTTGATTCAGTGGTTCAAAGTTCATATGTTGTACACTTGATTTGTTGTTCATCATTTAGAAAATGGGTTTATACCTTTTTCTTTTACCACTACTAGGGACTAATGTTTAGAGATATCTTTTTAGGGTTTTAAGAAATATACATTTTTGTTTGGTTCTGACATTTAATCTAAGAGCATGACAATGCCAATTAGTTCTATTTATGCCCGTATTGTGCCATTGGGATGCTTGCAGGTTGGGGTGATGAAATCATCAATTTATGCTTATTGTATGAACTAGAAGATGATGCTCCTTGCTTTGTTGTATGTTTAATGGTTGTTGTTCAAACTGCATAGAGTAAACGTTTGTTTGAACTATTTTTCTTGTGTTGATGATAATTTTTGGAGTGATCTATGCATTCAAATTTTGAACATTGAGCGTTAGTCCAAATGACTTTTTCGTTACCTTATTAGTTGTAGTTTGCAGTTGAATCTACTGATATTGAAGAGGTATATGACATTACCATGTTGATTGTAGGGTTATTGAGTTTGCTTAGCATCCATTTATTTGGACGTCTTTTGAATAAAAATACCATTTCTCAATAGTTCAAGGACAATTTGGCTTGGAATTTAGCCGCCAAATTTATATTTTCCAGGATTTTAACTAAATCTTGCTAAAATCCTGCCTGAAATAGGATGCCTAACAGCCCCTCAATGTTGATTTGTTTGATTTATTGGTTCAAAGTTCGTTTGTATTGCACTTGATTTCTTGTTCAAGTAGAAATGGGCTTACACCCTTTATCACTACTAGGGACTAATAAAGTTTAGAGATCCTTTTTTAGGGTTTTAAGGATTATGGATTTGTTGTTTGTTTTGACATTTCTCTAAGAGCACAAGAATGCCAATTAGTTCTATTTCTGCCAATATTGTGCCTTAAGGATGCTTGAGGGGTGGTCATCATTTTATGCTTATTGTACGAACTAGAAGATGAAGGTCCTTGCTTTCTTTATGTTTAATGGTTTCTGTTCAAAGTGCAAAGAACAAGTTTGGTTGAAGTGTTTTTCTTCCTTGTGTTGATCATAATTTTTGGTGTGATCTATGCATTTAGATTTTGAACATTGAGCATTAGTCCAAATAAAATTTTCATTATCTTATTAGTTGTAGCTTGCTGGTTGGATCTACTGATATGAAAGAGGTAGATGAAATTATCATGTTGATTATAGGGTTATTGAGTTTGCTTGGCATCAGCTTTTTTCTGGGTGTCTTTGGAATAAAAGTGCTATTTGTCAATGGTCAAGTACAATTTGGCATGGAATTTGTGCAAGTGTTTGGATTTATTTCCATATTTGATCTATTGGTATTTGTAAAATATAATTATAATATCTAATATTTAGAATTTATGAATAGAAAAAATTGATTGCTTTATGACAATACAAATAAGATTAGTTGGTATTCCTTGTCAATTTTATAAGTCATAGAAATGATAGCTTTGTTGAATCTTTATTATAATTGGTGGCTTTTTAATTTGATGGTTTTAAAATACATGCATTTTAGAAATGCAAAGCAATTTAATTCTTGTGTTTTAGTGATGCATACATTGTTTGGTGTTGGATGGAATTCAAATGCATTGACATATTTTTGTTTATGTTTGCTATATGTATTTCAAATACATTGAAGTACGACTTGTGATGCCAGGCGGTGTTGGGTGATTATTGGTAGTGGCTGGTGATTGTTGGCAATAATCAGTGACGAGCGATAGCGGGTAGCGAAGAAAACGATGACCATTGATGGATTTGGGTGGGCAGAGGCAGTGGTGATCGATGAGTGACGATCAATGATGATAGGCCACTACAACAGGCAATAACAAAGGATGGTTTGTAGCCGGTGATGATGACTAGTGACAACAACCAACAATAAAGCATGTAGCGATAGGCCATAGGCACAGCAACGATGCTAGAATTGGAAAAGCACAAAACAATGACTTCCTAGTGGATTGACTAGGGATAGTGGTGCCTCCTCCCTTCAATTTAATTCTTGCAACAATTAGACATATAACATTAATGAGCCGGCTCTTTTAATCTTTATGTGATTTGTTGCCCAAATCACATTAATAGGTAATCTAATTGATTCCTTACTAGATTTGATCCCCAAATCATGTGCCCCTTATTTAGGAGTATTTCACTTCTACCATATTAAAGCTCCATATGAGAAAAAAACTACTTGCCAACTTCTGTGATGTTCCCTTTGCCTTTACTTATTTTTTTGTTTGATATAAGCTACTTCTTGCTCCAAGAATAAATAATCAATAATAGGTACAACTTCTAACTTATCATCAAGCATTGAAGGTTCAAAGGAATTCAAATTTTTTACATTAATCACTAAATATATACCATGTATGGCGGTATTTCTAGTTGGCAAACATCATCTCAAATATTCTTGAGATTTTGAAATGGTGCATCCTTGATTGGCTTTAATTTTTCCCTTTTTCCTTTAGGTAATCTTTGCCAATATTTGAAATTGCCCAATTCAATATTGAGATATTTTCTATCAATGAGGTGAGGTGTAAGCTTTGAGGCGTAAGCCTCCAATTATACCATTAAATCAATAAAAAATGAAATAGTAACATACTAACATCAAAGTAAGATATCAATATAAGATCGGAAAAAATTTAAGATCATATCAATAAGTCTCTCGCACTTCCAGTTCAACATAAATAAGAAGTCTAGTAGATCACTTGAAGATTATATTCTAAATCCAAAGACTTCAGCCCACCCCCACCCCCACCCACACCCCCACCCCCCCACCCCCCTTAACCCCACCCCCATTACTTAGTGGGTCATTAGTGAAATAATCATTATATTGTGTTGTTTTTCCTCCTCCCTCATCCTCAATTGCGGTTCTGTGTGTGATCGACATCGATTTTGAGACAACTTGTAATTGGGAGTCAAATTGGTGCATGTGATTCTAGTTCTTGGTTTTGCTTGTTTTAGATTTAGTCATAGACAAATAACAAAATAGAATTTATTTTATGTTTAATATTTATAAATTAAAATTTTAATCTCTCTTAAATCCTTATTTTGAAGACTTGCACTTTTCACAAATTGCGTAGAGGTGTGCCAAATTAGGTCAAGGTGAGGCATACACCTCATGGCATTTTTCCCAATTCACGCTAAGGTCTTCCTTTTATTGTGCAATTTTAAATAATAATCTTTAATTAGATTCAACCAAATAACTTCTTCGTGGTAGTTGACATTAACATTGGTAGTCATGCCTTTCTTTGTACTTTTTGTTAGTTGTTTGGCTATTACTTCTTAACCAATGCTTTAATTTTGTGGATGCTCTTAAGAATTTTTTGAGCTCTTTCTTAAGTCAAACTTAACTCCAACATCTACTCTTAATTTTTCCTTTTGCAAACTTTTTTTTCTCTCCATATTTAGCGACGGTTCTCTCTTTTTTTGTAAGCATTTCTTATCAAATTGGTATCAGAGCTATTCGATCTAGGTGTCAATGGCTAGAAGTAAGGTCGAAGTTTTGGAAGGGGAGATCGGACAAATGAAATCTAAAATTTCGGATCTCCAAACTCATGTTTCAGATTTAAAAAAGTGAAATTTCAGTTGTCCATGAAAAGATCGATTTGAAATTTTCCATCCGGGAGGAAATGTTGAAAAAGTTGCTCAATGGCCAATCCAAAACAACCTCATATGAGATGGGTGAAGCCTCCGACAACCAAGGAAGTGGGGAAAATCCTAATCCGATAAGGCAAAGGGAAGAGTAGGAAGAGGAGATTATGAAGGAAGAGAGGAGAATGCCTCCTCTGGAGCCTATTCCTTGAGAGGAGTCATATAAAGGGTATGGGGAGAGGCATGAGGAGGTTGGGCATGAACGAAGGATTGCTGAATTTGAGAGGAGACAAACGGAATTTTAAAGGGGAAGGGCTAATTTGGATCCAAGGGGTGCCAAATTTAAAAGGAGAGGTGTTGAATTTGAAAGGAGAGTGGCTGAGTATGATTTGAGGGGTGTTGAATTTGAAAGGAGGTGGGAATTTGATGAAAGGGTTGGGTACGAATGTAGAAGGGATGATTGTTACACTTGGGGAATGTGAAATTATGGAGGGAACAGAGAGAACGGAGGCGATCCGAGGGTAAGAAAGCTGAAGACACCTATTTTTGATAGAGATGAAGCACATTGATGGATCTTCAAGGTGGAAATATACCTTTCCGTCAATAGTTTGATAGAGGAATGAGAGAATGATGGCAGCCGGATGTGCTTGGAGGGAAAAGCTTTAGCATTGTACCAGTGGAGGGATACGAGGCGACCCATACAGACCTGGAGTGAGTTTAAGGACTGCTTGTTGGAGCATTTTCGAACCAGCAGGAGAGTATACTTCTTTAAGAAGCTCGTCGCCATGACGCAAGAAGAAATAGTTGTGGAGCACTGTGAACAATTTGAGCATTTGACCAGGTAATTTGACAAGTTTTGGAGATTATACTAGAGGG